TCCAGACACTAACTCAAAGGCCCCGAGAAGAGGGACCCTCACATACCCCAGGTTTCTGTTTGAGCAACTTTGAATGCCTGAGGGAATCCCAGGAGACGCCCCCTCCCCACCCAGACACCAGCCCTTCACTACGCTGCTCACCCATCAGACACCACTAACCTCATGAAGAAAAGCATTTTAAAAAATGCAGGGGGGATGTGTTAATGGTTCAAGACCATTGAGCACTTAAATAAATGCAAGTTCTAGAACGTCTGCAGCCAAAGGAAAGTAAATAATGACAGCCGTGAGTCATGACTGTGCTCCTCCGAGTTTGTCAAGCTTGTAAACAACGTGTCCTCCGAGTCGGAGCCGGGGCCTGGGAGTTGGGTACCAATTAATCAGCCCCCGACTCTAACGCACCGAGGACCGCTGTGCTGGCTAGCAGAGGCCAGGCAGACGTAGCTCACTGACCGTCAGCGGTATCTGGAGCTTGCCTGAGACCGAAAGGAAAAGCCTATCCCCAGAAGAGCATTCTATGTTTTCTAAAAGGAATAAATTCACAACCAGTGTCAACACGAAACGGAACATCCTGATATTCGGGGGAAAGGCAAAACTGTCCAGCTTGTAAACTGAAGAGATGAGAGCAACAGACAGGCGGGTCCTAGCGGCCCCTCCCCTGGGCTAGTCACGGTGTTCCTTGCAGCCGTTTTTGACAAAGACGAAGGCGCCTGTCATCCCTGTCCAGCTGCTCCCTAAGGGCAGGGTCAAGGCTTCACCCTTTTCTCCCCTTCTGTTTCTGTAATTAGCATCTGCCCTGGGGTCCAGTAGGTGCTCAGTAAGTACCTGTAGTCTGAACAAGTGAATATCTTACAGCATTCACACCAGGGCTGGGCTTCCCAGGGGCTCTGTCCAGGCAGAGGATGGGCCAAAAAAGGGAGCTGGATCAAGAGACCGCTCCAGGCTCTGACTCTGCCACTCATAAGCGTGTGCTTCATGTGAGTCATGCTCTTCACTTTGGTGTCCTCATCTCCAAAACAGGAGGAATAGATCCTCCTACTTTGCTTTTTTTTGTTTTTTTCTTTTAATTTGCTATATCTAGGGCATGTGTCCTCATGGTAAGGGGCACTAAAAGCATGCCTGCTCCTTAGGGGGATGACCACACCTCAATCAGTCTCTTCTCCTCCGTTCTCCTCTCAGGATTTTGGGCATGCACACACATGTGCCCAGCATGTTTTTCAAGCCGCCAGGTCCGGGACGCAAACCATACAGTGTGCCGGGTGGGATCCAGCTGCCTTAACACCTCGCCACTGGCCGGCCCTCTTCCCACTTTGTAAGAAAGACTGGGAACGGGAAAGAAGCCTCTGGGAAGGTGTTCTTCAGGTGTGATTCCCATCCCACCTTAGAAGGGAGTTCTGCAATTGAAAAGGCAGGATACGCATGATGGTAGGGAGGAAGCAGACCACAATTTACTTGCAGAAAGCTGAGCAGGCCAGTGGCATAATTAACAAGCAGAGGAAAAGGTCACCGAGGCTGTGCTCTCTGCACCAGGGAAATGGAGATCAGAGCACAAACAATGCAGCTAGCGGGTAACATAAATATGTGAGTGCCCTACTATAAGACAATAGGGAATGGTGGAGTCTGCGGCTAACTGAAGATTATACTCATGCCCTGCCTAAGGTGTTTGTATCAAAAGATTTAAAACGAATGCCCCATCACACACAACACAGTGCAGCTATAGCCGTTAGGCCGAGTTTAAGACCCCTGTAGATGGTTGTATTAAGTATCTTTTTATCCAGATACCTTCATATCAGAGACTGGAGGCTGAGTCTCCCAGGGCTCAGTAGTTCTTAGAGACAGCAAGCAATTGGAGTGTCCTTTTCCTGGGCACACCTACTGATGCAGAGCATCTAATCAGACACCTCCTTCTCCAGGATCTCATTGTCTACCTTCCCTAATCACTCCAGGGCCACAGAGAGACAGTACCAGAGAGACAGGCCCTCAACCCGAGCCAGCTGAAATTATTTAAACTAGTTAATGCTTAATTGGCTTACATGATTGCCTGTCCCCAGGAAACCAGATAAAGGCTCCTGTCCACATTCTCCCTTGTTCTGCCTCTGGTGCTTTCCTGCCTGGCCGGGAACTGTGAATAACAAACCTGTTGGCCTCACTAGACCTGAATAAAAATAAAAGTTACATTTTAAAACACCTGTGAGGGACCAGCAGTTAGCGTAATGGCTATGTCGCTGGACTCCCACGTAGTCAACCGCAGTTCGAATCCTGGACCCAGTCAGTGGCTTAAACTCATGCCGGGCATGTGTGCGTGCATGCCCAAGATCCCGAGAGGAGAATGGAATAGAAGAGAAGGGATTGCGGCGTGGCCATCCCCCCTGGGGGGTGATTTCTCACTTTCTGTCTCTCTGTCTCTGTCTGTCTGTCTGGCGAG